AATAAACAGTGTGTTGCCCAATGGAGCGTATCATTTGGAAGATTTAGATGGCACCAAGCACGTGAGATTCATTAACGGCAAATATTTGAAAAAATATGTTCCTTTTTTATGGGAATGTGAACAGATAAAAGCATAATCAAAATATGTTGAACGATTAAGGATAATAAGGTCAGAGCGAAATACGTTCAAATAAAATCCTTTATTATCAAACGTTCATTACAAAGATGCGAAAAATACAAATAATGGATGCTCTACAAACTACAATTAAAAGTAAGCTAATCTCCCGGTTGATCGCTGAATAAGAGGGTGGACTGGCCTCACCACCTTCCTAAATGCATCGCTGTAATGGCGGACAAAGATGCTGAGAAGCACTCTCAGCAAGCAAGGTGACCCGCAAGCATCCTAAAAATTGCCTTCTATCATCGACACCTTGTAAAGGACAAAGAGACGATGGGAAGAACTTCAATGGTAAAAACTTTGCTGCTAGCCAAAAAATATTTCCTATACCTCCCACACCAAAGGTGACATCAAGGCAAATAGTAAAATGGACGGACTAAACAATCCATTTTTATAGAAAGACGAAGGTTTCAAATCGGATTGATTGTCAGAGTGCCAAACAATGGCAGCAAATTGGTTTCGAAGAAGAAAATAAAGATGAAGATGGAAGATGGAAAATGCGAAGCATACGTGCATTTATAGGGGGGTGGAGATGAAGAGACAGAATATGAGTAGCCACATTCTGCCTAGTAAATGAAATTAAATAGCCCAAAGTCTTGGGAAAAGTGGTGGAAATATCAAAAGAAAAGATTTTTAGTACAAAGCAATTAAATGCTTGAAGAATTGGCGATTAAAAGACAAACGTCAAATAAATGCACGGGAAGTTAACATATATGTTCATTAATGATGAACGAGGTTACAAAGGGAAAATCAAATTACAAAAGGAAAAAGCATCATATGTCTTAATTACAGTCCACCCCACACTGAACGAATTCGTTCCCTAAGTTTTTCCTAATCCTCGTTCTGCCGAGAGGAAGTGATGTTCAATTCGGCCACGACATCATCATTAACTTCCAACTTCTTGTACTGCTCAACCAAGGACTTAGTTCGCTCAATTCCGTGGGAGGCGTTGCGCTTTTTAGCAGCCATTCTCGCCTTGCAGTCGTCCATTTTGGCTTGAAGTTCCTTCATCTGAGCAGCCAAACTAACCATCAAAGAGTCTTCAATCATGACTTCGGAAGAGATCTCTTTCAACTCATCCTCAGCCTTGTTGATCTACAGACGCAGAGACTCTTTTTCAGATACGGCGCGAAGATATTGAGTACTTTTGGCCTTTAGTTTAGCATTCTTGGCCAGCAAGGAAAGGACCTCGGAGTGGATAACCTTCAACGTCGCTTTAAAATCGGCAGAAAGATTGAGCGACGGAAGCGTCAGTGTTTGCTCCAACTTCGCATTCAAATGCTCAAGTTTATCCTTGTGTCTGGCAGCACTAGCCCTACCAATGTCCATATCCATGAAGGACACGTACTCAAATATCGACTGCTTGAGGAACTTCAAATCTTCCTCTGAAGAAGCAGCAGGACGATCAGATGGAGCAGGGCGAGATGTCTTGACTTGCCCCCAGGAAGCGAACAAGTCTTGGATAGAACGCACAATCTTGTTAGCATCCTGCAAAGAAAATTGCCAATATTGAGGATTTTCACTACAACGAACAAAATGGAAATAAAAGTGAAGCAAAGATTACCTCATCAACAATCGTGGAAGATGGCATATCCTTAGCCAAGTCTGCCACCCGTGACTCCTCCATTCGTAAGGACTTCCCCTTGTTTGAGCGAGAAGATGTTGCCACAACGGGCATACTTATAGGAGTATCTGCAGAACTCAAGAGCAACAAATCAGAAACCAATAGCACAAGCAAAGGTAAGGCATAAAAAAAAAAAACTAAATTACCTTCTGCTTCGATGTTTGGGGGGTTGATGCCCTGAGAAGAAGGTGGCTCATCCATGGGTTGTGATGAGGATCCTGGGACTGAAGATGTCTCTTTAAGCGTAGTCTCCTCATCAACCGATTTTGATGAAGCAGCCTCAGCAGAGGATGATGGAGCAGGAGCTGCCGATGCCAAAGCCTTTAAAGGAGAGGCTGAACTTTTCTGAGGAATCCAAATAAATCATCAGCACACAGAAAAGTTTCAAGTATGGAAAAATATGCTTGTGAGTAAACCAATTTAATTACCTTCCTCCTAACGATAAGAGGGGTATCATCATCATCATCAACATCATCCTCCAGAATGAGAGATGCTGAGGTTGGCCGTTTGGGGCTTGGGGCACTCTTGGCTGTAGTAGGCTTGGCAGGGAGAGAAGAAGATGGACGAGCAGACTGTTTAGTGCGACGAGGAGGAGAGGGACTCCGGATGGACAAAGGAGTGACTAAAACAGGAGGAGGGGAAGAAATGCTCGGCTGGTCTAGTGAATGAAAGGCACGATTGGCATCAGTCGCAAACAATCTGCGCTTCGCTGACGGCCAGAGCTGTCCAAAAAGAGGATGGATGGCGTGACTAGAATTAAAGGGGCTAATGAAAAATAGCTTGTTAAGAGAAGATTGCGAGCATTTATAGCCTCTGCCTCGGCCTTATTAATAATTTGAAAGCGGTCAATTAAGTTCCTTGAATAGCAAGGAGGAATAGGCCAAGTTTGACCGAAACCAAGTTGGCGAGCAAAAAATTGGGGAGCATAAATTTCTACCCCTGCCTTGACATTGGTCCCGGTTAAAATATCATGAAATAGCTCCCTCCCGGTTAAAAACTGGATCCAAATGAGTAGGGAGGTACTCGCGCTATCTATAGTGGAGGGGGGTGCACATAGTTTGGAGTCAAAAAAGGAGGAAAAGGAAAAAAGGAAGGGATTGAATCCAAAGAATAAAAGAATGAAAAAATGTCCCTCCTAGACATATTTACAGGAGCCAAGGGCTCAATGGTTAGCCCATAACAGCTAGCAGAGGAGCGAGAAATTGATGGAGCACCAAGCAATGGAAAATAGGATCTCAACCACAGTTGAGTGAACCAAAGAGGTCCACTACCAGTGGGAGATGCACCATTCTTCAATTGAGTTCGAAGAGAGGCCATGCCTCTATAAAGGGCAGCCAAAAAGAAAGAACATAAATTCAAAGGCTTGCCACGCGCCAATTCATGCGCTATGGGTAAATAACTCAGGGTGGCCTTTATGCTTGGCACACACAAAACATATTTACAAAGCCAAACTAGAAGAAAAGTCACTCGCTCAGTATGGGAAGGCTCAGCGCTTGAATGATTGTGAAGGGTTTGCAGGCTTGAATAAGACTCGGTGTAGTTTTACCAAACTTTGGGGCGCCACTAGAAACCAAGATACCAGGAAAAATGGTATCGCCCAAAGGTGGTTGATTCACTAGGGCCTCAACATCCCTTAAAGTAATAGACATGGGACCAAGAGGGAAAATAAAGGTACTGTACTCGGAAGACCAAAAACTCAAAGCAATCGAAAAAAGTGCTGAATCAAAAGTAGGGGGGCGAATAGAGATTTCTAATAAATCAGAAATCCTAGCATTATCAAAAAGTGTCTTAGTAGGACCATGGCCCACAAGACGAGCATGCCACCTACGGAAAGCTACATCAGATTTAGGCCAAGTGCGAATACCTTTTTCGCGAAGTGGCTCCAACGGCAGAGAGTTTAGAAATGGAGGGCCTTGAGTACAAGGAAACAGCTGGCCCACCGCCGCCAGTTCGATTGCCTCTGCATTGTTGAAGAAAGGACCTAAGTAGAACTCATTGCGTTCGACATCGGCGGGCGCGAGAAAACTCGAAGTTATGTATAGACGACTCAGAAGTTTCTGAAAGTCATCAAAACTAAAGGAGTCGCCAGCTTGAGATTGTGAAGTAGCTATTAGGGATGAAACGGAGTTTTTCAGAGTTACGTAGCAGGGAAGCAAAAGATGAACCGTAAATCGTGGGAGAGACGCGAAAAATTGAGGCGTGATTTAATGGTGCAATGAAATGGCGTGTTTGGGGGTTATAAGAGTTTGCAAAACGTCGCACCTTTTCAAGCTATGGAAGAAAACAATGATTGAAATTCTTGGGAATTTCGAATATTGCTGGAAACACAAAGTGGATATGACAAAATTTAATAATTGGTATTAATTCTGCCATATTGGGGGGTAATTGTTGGCACATAAAAATTTCAGCCCAAATTGAACGGTTCAAAGAATGAAGCCCAATTAGAGGATCCCAAATTAGATAGTCCAAAGAACGAAGCCCAATCAAACAATTCAAGTAGAAGGCCCAAATAGGGAGGCCCAAGAACGCGGTAACGCCATCGCCCAAGTTTGAAAGTCGCTCAGAATCTGAGCGAATGGAGTGCCATGCAGTCGTCCAGAGCTGTTACTCTATTCTCACCCAAACCTTCAAGTCGCCCAAGGTCTTAGCAAACATAAAGCGTTGTGGTTATCAAGAAGTGCAGTTATCAAAGCAATTATTAAAGCATCCCTATCACGTTCCACGATTCAAGGAATTCAATCGAAAACGGTTGAACGATGAAGAGTAATGACAGCAGTTAAAAAAGGTAGTTTTCATGACAAGCTGGCCATTACGAGGAAAGTGGGCAGTTGTAGAACGATCAAGCAGCTTTTAGGCGGTTGATCACAAAGAGATCATCCATGGAGTATAAAAGGAAGAAAAGACATGGAGCAAAGGGACCGAATCAAAAACTCTCGAACAGAGAACATGTAATTTTAATTTCCTTAGCTTAGACTTAAATACTTTTTTCAGTAACTCGTGTGCTTGCGCCCCTTGGAGTCATTCTGTTTTTAATTTCCAATTGTAAAGTCATCGCCAATAAAAGAACACCCTTTTTTGGAACTTTGTCTCAAGAGGTTTGTCCCTTACATAATCGTCTGATCCCTTTTAATTGTTAACGACTAACCCGCGCGAAACAACTAGAATGTCACTAATCAAGCTAATAAACTCATGTCTGAAGTGACCAATCCAGCTGTGTTTTTCCAGACAAATAATGTTGGAGTTTTTGATCAGTATGAGACAAAACCTACACAGGCTTTCGATAATTCATCTACGGCTGCTCTTAGTAGTAATTTTGGATATTGTCTTGGATTTTTCTGATATGCATTTTTAATCTTTTCAACCGTAGTTCTAAGCTAGTATTTCACTAGCCTTTATTGAAAATATTGAATATTTTTTCTCAGTTAAGGTTTAGTAATGAATATTCTGTTCTTAGTTAATGGTCTAATTATTCATGAGATTATGATGATTTTTTTATTTCTTTAAAAGCATTCAGGAAAAATGATACATATGACGATTTTTTGTTTGCACAACAAATCATTGATTTTAGTGTGTTCGGAATTCAAAAGAGTTCCCGATTTATATAATTAAGAAACACGAACACGATGACAAAAAATTAATAATGCTAATGGTCTCCAATAATGAAAAATATCTCTTCTAATTGTATTAATTTAGAGTTTATAAATAATTTTTAATTATTTGATACGATCAATTGAGAGCACTTTTTGTAGACAGTGTACTTTAACTTATGTGACAACTATTTTAATGCAATCTATATTAATATTGGAGATGTTCATAGGTAAAAACACAAAACAATCGTTGTAAATTTTCTTAAGTGTCCGAAAACACTTAATTTCTCTGAATTTGATGGTTATCAATTATAAATGTTATTTTTTACTTATCGATAAATTTACTTGTAAGTTAATAATTACTTAAAAGTAAATTTACTTATATATAAACTTATTAGTTATAAATAAACTTACATATTTCAATTCAAGTAGTTTGTTTCCTGATTATTTGTAACTTGGTGAATTAATAACTCAGTGTAAAATGAATAGTGCTATCTACCATAGTGGACTCCACTAATTATTTGTACAATGAATAAAAATGCATCCTAACTTCATTGGACAACAAATCTTTCGGGTCCATTTTTATGTAGACTGTATGCTAAGAATCGAGGTTCTACATAACATTACTTGATCCATTCTAAACTCATGACTCTATTAATTTTATCTAGTTGACTAAAAGAGAATAAACACCCCAAGTTATTTTAGGGTAATTATAAATTCATGCCACAATTTTTATTTTTTACACCACATTTTAATTTTACTTCATGAAAATAAAATATTTTGATATCAAGGATGAGACGTACTAATTAATGGAATGTTAAAGATAAGAATTCAATAGAAAAAGTTTTAAGAAAATAATTGCCACAACGAGCAAATATTGAAGAGCTTAACAACAATTAAAATGTGGAGTATCAAATAAAAATTGTTGTGGCAATATAATCATCCATTAGTTTGACCTGAATATTAATTGCACTAAACACAGAATAGAATTAAATTGACACTTATCCAATTTAATACAATGCGCCAAACAAACGCATCCTTATGTTTTACGTTATTTCTTTCTCAAATTTTGGTGCTGTTTATGTAAATTCATTTAATAGTAGACTTTTAATGTAATAAATTCCATCAAGAGTAATTAAGACATGAATCATTCTAAATCCAAATATTTATTTGTCACTCACATTTTGTTCGATTTTGCCATGAAAACATTATGCATTTTTCATTATCATGAGAGTGCCTCTACTAAAGCGTCAAACTTGAACTTGCCCTTGTGGAAATAATTTCCTTCGAAGAATATATTTTAGTTTTTTTTAGAAAAATAATGGTGCTAGCGCCAAATGGCACTTTTTTTTTTTTTTTAATTACTCTATTTTAATTCACATTTTTTATATTAAATTATTAATGATAATTCTTTCTCAAATATACAAGCGTTTCTGTAAGTTCATATGATTCTAGACTGTTAATTTCACAATTGCAATTACAAATTATTACCTTGTGGATTAATGATTAAATGCAGTTCTTAGGATTATTCGTCTGTTATTATTGGTATCAAAATTTTCAAATGATAACAAAAACTTTGGCATGCAATAGTCAACTAGTTTCAATCATGCCAACTAAGATAACATTGATATGACGATTATCCATATTATGTAAGGTCCAAATTTATTGAATCAATGATCATAGCCAGCTTTAAGAAATAAATTTCAAGTTCCTATATATTGTCCATGTTTCTACCCAAAATTTATTCTCAACAGAATTCATGAAATCAACCCATTTTCAGTATATCCTTTCGAAGAACAAACACCTTACCATGGCAAAGAAACCCACCATGGGTTGCCAAAAGATCAAACTTGGAAAAATAGAGATCAAGAATCACCTACAAGTTAAGTTCTCGAAACTTCAAACAGGGCTTTTTTAAAAAGGCTAGTGAACTTGTACCCTTTGTGGGGGTTGACATTGTCTTTATAATTTTCTCCCCAGCTGGAAAATTTGGAAACCCTAATGTTGAATCTATCATCAACAAGTTTTCCGACTGAAATCCATCGATAAATTTCAACACTGAATTCCATCTTCTTGATGCTCATAGGATTTCTTCTGTCAATGAATTTAACTTTCAACTCATTCAAATTCGTAATGAAATCGAAGTTGAAAGAAAAAGAGGAGAAGCGTTAGAAAATATGAGAAAAAAAAGTCAAATCCAGCACTGGTCGGAAGCCCCTGTAAATGAATTAGGGTTTCATGAGCTTGAAAATTTTAAGGGATACCACGGAAGAATTAAAGAAGAATGTTACTAATCAAGCTCATAAACTCATGTCCGAGGTGACAAATCCGACTTCGACTTTCATAATTGATATCCAAAAATTACCTGTAAGAGCAATATGTAGATCTTGACTTTAGATGGTACCAACTATGATCATTGAAAAACTTTAATAATGACTTCCCTAAATTCCATTGATATGATAGTATGGCAAACTGTCCTTTTGGTTGGATTCCACCTGGTGATATTGATAATCAAACACAATAAAATTACTCTTAATATTGAGTGGAATACAGGTGGTTTGAATATTAATAATTTAATAATAAGTGATATCAATCAATGTGATTGAAATTTTATATGCTTAAATGTCATATTTGACGATGTTGATGCTGAAAATTTTAATTTGATCTCTAATTGAAAGATTGCAAAGGACCCAAGGAACTTATGTGGACAAAAAATAAAATAAAATAAAATAAAAATCCATTTCCATTAAATTTGAAAATTTATACATGAAGGGAGAAGAAAAGTTCATTAATCTTACTTGGAGTGACGATGAATATGGCATAGAGGAAAATCTATGTGATGAAGAATATTCTGTAATAAGCTGATCTAAAAGTTTCAAGTCATTTTGATTATCAATAGTGTTAGGAAATTCGTACCCCAACACCGTAAAACACATCAAGCACAACACAAATGTAAAGTGCAAGAAAATAAGAACACAAGAATGGTCACCCAGTTCGGCCTTAAAGGCTTAATCTGGGGGGCTCAGGTCAGCCCAATCCACTAGTGCAATTCTGCCTCACAGAGAGAGTGTACAGTACATAGAACCAAGATCGAAAACCAGATCAATCATCGACCCTAAAACCGGATCTCAAATCTGGACATAAACTCACAGCTTCCTCCCTAACCGGCTACAACTACAAAAAACAAGACAGATCACACATACAAGACCGTCCTCTATTTACTATAGTATTTACATTTAACCAGAATCATCCAAATGGAGAAACAATCTCCAGATTCAAAGGGCCAAAAGAAGGGAGAAGAAGAGTCGACCAACAGAGAGAGCGAGAGAGAGAGAGAGAGAGAGAGAGAGAGAGAGAGAGAGAGAGGAGATATTATCAAAGCCGTATGAAAAATAATACCACCCTTCCAGCTGGTTATCAAAACTAAGGGCCATCTCTAGTTTAATCTCCACCATTCATTTAATCCAATGGTCCACATCCAACCAGAAGAAACACAGATCCGGGTCATATCAAATACACGAATCAGGAGCTGCCACGTGATATCTACCAACTTAAAATACAACAAATGTCCAGATTGCCCTCTCATTAGTTGCTAATTTGGAGAACCACGTTTTTTTCTCCTTCAATCTTCACCTTGGTTCTCAAAATTGCACTCACTCTCTCAGTTGCTGAATTGCACTATTGTGGAAAGGCTGAACAACATCATTACCTTAGGTACCTGCAAAGAAAAATTACCCAGTATTAATGTTGAGAAGTGACAAACACATTCTAAACTTACTCACAGGCAGAATTTTTGTGCCCATATCAGATGGGTTAATGTCAGTATGAATTTTCTCTAACATCATTTCACCTAAAGATAGTTTCTCTCTTATGAAATGATACTTCACCTCAATGTGCTTGGACCTTTCATGATAGACAGGGTTCTTGCTTAACAATAATGCACTCTGACTATCAGTAAGAATAACAGGTGATGAAAAAAGAAAATTCAGTTCACTTAAAATTCCTTTCAGCCATATACATTCTTTAACACATTCAGTAATTGCCACATATTCAGCTTCAGTACTAGATAAAGTGACAATTGGTTGAAGTTGAGACTTCCATGTGATACAGTTATCACCAAGTGTAAAGAAAAAAGCTGTGGTAGATTTTCTTTGATCCTTATCTCCAGCAAAATTAGAATCCACGTACCCTTTAAGGGTTAATGGTTCTGATCCCTTTTTGTACACTAATCCTACACTTAGTGTCCTAGCTATATACCGTAATAGCCATTTTAAGCCAGCCCAATGTGGTTTCCCCGGGTTTGCCATAAACCTACTTAAAAAACTGATTGAATATGCTAGATCAGGTTGTGTTGTTATCATAGAAAACATTACTGATCCTATTGCATTGGAGTAAGGGATATTTTCCATGTCTTTGGCCTCAGATTCAGTTTTAGGACATTGGGCTGAGGAGAGATTCATGTGAGCAGCAAGTGGAACATTAACAGACTTAGCTTCTTTCATGCCAAATTTAAATAAAACTTTATGTAGGTAAGATTCTTGGGTTATTATTAACCTGCCTTCTTGTCTCTTCCTAGTTATCACCATTCCCAGTATTTTCTTGGCATTCCCTAAGTCTTTCATGTCAAATTCAGATTTTAGGAGGTTCTTCATTCTTTTTATTTCAGCTTTGCTTGAACTGGCCAGTAGCAAATCATCTACATACAAGAGTAGATATATCTCGCTGCCAGGTTTGGAGTTATAGTAATATAAG